CATCCTCTGCATTGCCTTCTGGTGTTGCTGTGTGCCGTTTCCTTCAGACTTCTGAGACTGGAATCATGGGAAATGCTGACCTGTGATCAGTCTTGTGTTTGTTGCAGGTTTGCCTTGTTGCAGGGTCATCAGAGGTCAGAGGATCAGCTGACCGAAGGCCATGCGAACAGGGAACGCTTGCTCAAAGTATCTGGACTTTAATAATGTTCTCACACGGTCAAACAAAAACATCATTTATACATCGATCATGGAGCGTTTTTACCAGAAACAGAAACGTTTGGCTGGATGTTTGTTTTAACGTTTTTTAAAAGTTTCAGAGCGTTCAGAGAACATTTAAAAGCACCGTTCCCATAATGAAGCATAAACATCTTCATCTGATCTGGATCCGGTGGTTTAGAAGAGAAGGACAGAATCGGGACAGTGAATCAGAAGCAGCGACTGAATCCCGAGTCACTGAATCCCGAGTCACTGAATCCCGAGTCACTGAATCGCGAGTCTCTGAATCACTCGATAATGACTCGTTTAAGCATCGGACCTCGAGTGATCAATGTTTATTTGTACAATAGAGTCAAACGACTGATGATATAATCATTCTTGAGGCAGATCAGCCATTATTTTTATGAAACAATGATTCGGTGTGTTTGTGAAGGAGCAATTATTGATCTGTTTATTGATTGCTGAAATAAAACACATGTGGTACTTGAACATGTTTAACTGTCTATCCAGAACAGAAACTTTATAATCGCCACATAAGACTGTGAATGGGGTGCAATACATTATAACACACACACTAAATAATACAATAAAACATAATTTAACTGTATAAACAGTGCAGTAGCGCTGTACCTGAACATCACGGCTGTGATTGGTTCGCGAGTGATCACATGACCGATGAACGTCGTTCAACCAATCAAATTAAAGGGCTAAAAGTATGAGCCGTCGATTTCCACTGACGTCACTGTGGCAATGAAGTAAACTCTATTCAGTTCTAGTTCAGATCTGAGCTGGTGTGAGGAATCTGTCGCTTTAATGGTTTCATGACTATAAGCGTGAGAATAATGAAGGTTAAGCATAATTCTACACAATCAGGGGTTATGAACGTTCTAGTAACGCAACGTACGTCTTTAATAATGTTCTTAAAACGTTAACAGAGGAACATTACTTAGGAACGTTTTTTCTCCAGTGTGACTGTCGCCTAGCAACAGAAGCACGTTTCCACGCTGACGTCACGGCCGTGGTCCTCAACAATGCAAATGAGCTCACTGAAGAAGCAAAGCAGACAAAACAGCCTTAATTACCTGTTAATTACACGGACTCTCGCGCTGTGACGACAGAAGAGGTTAACAAAGGTCCAAACTCGTCGAAACACAAGCAGTTCTTTTGTTTTTGCTTTACATCTGCAACAACAGCGAACAATCAGTGACGTACGATTGATCAATGAATCGTTCTGTTGAACCGATTCTTTACAATGAAGATGCCTCATTAGTGTCTGTTATTAAGAGATATATATACATAGATGCCTCATTAGTGTCTTTCTAACAGATATATATACATAGATGCCTCATTAGTGTCTGTTATTAACAGAAATATATACATAGATGCCTCATTAGCGGCTGTTATTAACAGATAAACATAGATGCCTCATTAGTGGCTGTTATTAACAGATATACATAGATGCCTCATTAGTGGCTGTTATTAACAGATATACATAGATGCCTCATTAGCGGCTGTTATTAACAGATATACATAGATGCCTCATTAGCGGCTGTTTCTAACAGATATACAGTCGTGCCCAGAATTAATCATACCCCTGGTAAATATGATCAAAAATGGCTGTAAAAAATAAATCTGCATCGTTTATCCTTTTGATCTTTCATTAAAAAAAATGGCAAAATCCTAACCTTTCGTTTAAGTAAAAGAATTGAAAGTTGGGGGGAAATCACATTATACAATAAATGTTTTTCTCCAAAACACGTTGGCCACAATTATTCATAGCCTTTTATTAAATACCTTTTTGCAATCTCCTTTTGCCAAGATAACTGCTCTGAGTCTTCTCCTAATGCCTGATGAGTTTGGAGAACACCTGACCTGAGATCAGAGACCATTCCTGCATACACTCTCTCCAGATCCTCTAGATTCCCAGATCCATGTCGGTGCTTCTTCTCTTCAGTTCTGCACTCATCAGGTCCGGGAACTGGGACGGTCATGGCAGAAGCTTCATTTTGTGCTTCCTAACACATTTTTGTGTTGATTTTGATGTTTGTTTTGGATCGTTGTCCTGATGGAAGACCCAACCACGGCCCATTATAAGATTTCTAGCAGAAGGCGTCAGGTTTTGATTTTTTATCTGTTGATATTTGATAGAATCCACGATGCCATGTATCTGAACAAGAAGTCCAGGACCTCCAGCAGAAAAATATGCCCCCAACATTAAAGATCCAATGGTTTATTAAATTGTACACATGGGGTACTCTTTATCCTTGTGTGCACCTAACCCATCTAGTGTGTTTGCTGCCAAAAAGCTCTTTTTTTAGTTTCATCTGACCACAGAACCCTGTGCCGTTTGAAGTTCCAGTCGTGTCTGACAACTGAATTTGTTTTGTTTTTTAGTTTGTTTTTGGATGAGCGAGGAAGATTTTTCTTGAAACCCTCCCAAACAACATGTGGTGATGTAGGGGTTGTTTGATTTTTTTTTAATTGGCTTTCTAAACCCCAAGACTCAACTAGTCTCTACAATTCTCCATCTGTGATCGTTGGAGAGTCTTTGGCCACTCAAACCATCCTCCTCACTGTCCATTTAGACAATATAGACACACGTCCTCTTCCTGGCAGAATCGTAACATCTTTAGTTGATTATAACTTCTTAATTATTGCCCTCATGGCCAAAATTTTCAATTCTTTAGCTATTTTCTTACATCCACTTTCTATTTTGTGAAGCTCAACAATCTTTTGATGCACATCAGAATGTTCTTTGGTTTTATTCATTGTGATGGATGATTAAGGGAATTTGGCCTTTGTGCTTCCTCATTTTTAAACTCCTGTGAAACAAGAAGTCATGGCTGGACAATTTCATGTTCCTAGTCACCCTGGTGTGCTAAAAAAGGTAAATATTAATGGGAATATACTTCAGAGATATTTTATTCATAAAAATTATAGGGGTATGAATAATTGTGGCTAACGTGTTTTGGAGAAAAACATTTATTTTATAATGTGATCCCCCCCCATTTTCAATTCTTTTACTTCAATGAAAGGTTAGATTTTTGCCAATTTTTTGAATGAAAGATCAAAAGGATAAACGATGCAGATTTATTTTTTACAGCCATTTTTGATCATATTTACCAGGGGTATGATTAATTCTGGGCACGACTGTATACACATAGATGCCTCATTAGTGTCTGTTATTAACAGATATATATACATAAATGCCTCATTAGTGTCTGTTCTTAACACACATATATATATATATATATATATATATATATGCATAGTCAGTGGAATAACACTGAGTTTCTCATGATCGGACTCGTATTCATAATCATCTTCTGTCTTCAAACACGAGAGCATGAGTCGTTTATGAGCCGAGACTTCATTAATATCATCGTTACAGCGTCAGCCTTTCATTCGCTTACATCAATCAGTGTGAATTAAAGATGTGTGTGTGTGTGTGTGTGTGTTTATCAATATGAATTTATTGACCAATACAAGCAAAATACTGTCCTCCTCCAGAATTCATGCTAATGTGCTTATTAAGAAACATTTCTGTTATCAATGTTGATCACAAGAATAAAATACAGTTTACTATATATTCACATAGAAAACTTTTTTCATTGTAAAAATATTTCACTGTTTTTACTTTATTGTAATCAATTATATGCTATAAAAACAATAACAACTTTAATAATGTTCATATATAGCTTTCCTGGAGCTCAGACAGGAGAGCGCTTGCAACGCCAGGGTCATGGGTTCGACTCCCAGGGATAAGAATTTAACGTGTGTAAGTCGCTTATAAAAACATCTACCAAATGCAAGAATGTAAATATATTACAGCCTGTGTGTGTGTGTGTCGTCCTCTAGTGCTGCGCATGCGCAACTGCAGCCTCGACCACCAACAACATGCGCGCGCGCGTCACTCAAGAGTTCACTGGTTTATTTGTTTCGCCATTCGTGTATTTATCAGTATGAATTTTCCTGACTGACTCTAGTGCCAATACACCCGAACGTATTTGTGTTAACTGTGTAAATAAATAACTTATAATAATAAATAATACTCTGTAAAAGCGGCTGCAGATGCGCTTCATGTTTCTGACCAGCAGGCGGAAGTGACGCGCACACAAACAGCGCTTCCGGTGACTCGCCTTCTCGGAGGAATCATGGGTAATGAAGTTTTTCACCAAAACATGCAAAAGACATTTTAAAAATATATATAAGTTTAGATAATGCGGGCTGACGGCTTCAACAAAAGCATAAATCATCGATTAACGATCTCGGAGCTCACAGTAGGGCTGGCTTTACATGTTTAAGTTAAAAATTAATTCCCCTATGGAGGAAATGAATGGAATGACTATTAATATGTGCGATTAAATGCACGAATACATTTTCGAAAAATTATATTAGTTCTAATAATAAAAATATTAAAACGCATGGAAGAGGGCCCTAGTGACACTATCATCGTCATTTCAAGAAATGCCCTCCAATAAAAAAAACTTTTAAAAATCCACCCTTGATTGGTTCTGGTATTCTTGTTCTCGGTAGGTAATGTTGTATCATTGTAAGTTTTGAAAATAAAACAAATTAAAACAGGAAGTTGTGTGATTTTTTCTTCGCTGTCGTCACTCTCTCAGGTGTGTGTGTGTGCGCGCGCGCGCGTGTGTGTGTGTGTCGCCCTCTAGTGTTGCGCATGCGCTACTGCAGCATCGACAACACAATGCGCGCGCACGTCACATTTAAGAGTTCACAGTGACACTTACATTAGAGCCACTGAAGGATGTGTGAGGGAATCAGCTCTCATGAATGAAGGATCTTCGGTGTGCTCATTTACTGCTGTTGAACATTTAGACTAGTGTGCATCTCAGATCAGTGTGTGTGCGTGTGTGTGTGTGACAGCATCATCAGCATCAGCATCATCCTCATCATCATCCCGCGGAGGACAAAGGCACAGAAATGGGTCACTGATCTCATGGTAAGTGACTGATCTGCATCACCGCTGAAGCTTCGAATAAAGAGAGATCTCGCGTGTGAGTGTGTTTGTGTTCGAGGATCGCCGCTGCTCGAGTGATTCTGTGGAGTTTAGGGGTTTTCTCGACACATTCGCTCCAGAGAACGGGACATTTACTGACTCGCTCGCCGCCTTTGCGCATCGTGTCGATTTCGCGAATAACATCAGCAATGGATGTGTTTAATGTCGCCACATCACTCCCGTGGCGCGTCGGCTGATCGGCGGGTCCAGGTGTTTCGTGTTTCGTGTTTCATAAGGATTGCATCACGACACACACGGACACTGCTCCCGTGATGCTCAGTCTCCATGGCGACCAGCATCCTCATCATCTTCATCTTCATCACACACACGTCTGAATCACAGAGGCTTCGAGTGTGTCCTCATCCGAGTGTATGAATACTGTGGTGATCAATTATGAATAATCGGCCCTGCTGATAGCAGAGGGGAAGGTGTGTGTGATTCTTTTGTGCTTTAATAACGTTCTGTGATAAACGTTCCTCTACAGGGATCAAAGGTTTGCCTGCGGAGATTCAGCGCGAGTGTGTGTGTGTGTGTGACTGGATGACTGGAAGGAATCAGATGGAGATCAGCCTTCACACACTCAACATCGGTCAGTCAACTCTTTATCTGCTATGATCCTGAATCACTTTTTGCTCATGTTTATTTACATATTTATACGTTCCTTGAGTTATTATTTTGACAACATAAAACACAAAACGTGTCTATAATCAATAAATGCTGTAAACTTAATTTAATCTTACAACAAATATCTCGGCGAACAGGAAACATTCTGGCGAGCTTCTCAAAGTTCTCCGCTCTTTAATAATGATCTCAGAACATTAGAACAAAATCATGGATCATGGAGTGTTTCTTCTGGAATGTTTCAGTTGATGTTTGTTTTTAAATGTAACGGTTTTTAAATGTTTCTTGTTTCAGAACGTTCAGATTCAAAAGTAACGTTCCATAATGTGTGAGAATGATACAGTGTCACTGTTCCCGTAACGCTCACAGAACCAAGAACACACGCTTTTGAAACATTTAAACGTTTTCAATGTTCAGGGAACATTCAGGAATAATATTTTCATGACTTAAAGGTTCTCTAAGCGATCCTGGGTGACGTCACTTCTTGTTGACGTTCGAACTATTGTCAAACAAAACGGAGGCTAGCTAGACCCTCCCTCCTCCTCATCCGCACACTAACCCCCCAAACCACACCCCCAAACCCTTCTTGTCGGTCATTGGCTGGAACAGTTTGTTATGTTTTGGGGAGCGGGTCGCTGCAGTTTGTTTTTGGTGCTGTTTGTGAAGCATGGGCTGTCTACAGAGATCGCGTTTCTTTACAGTGTGTTCAGGGGACAGGCAGCCAGCGGATAGTGAGGAGATGTTTGCTGTATGTGACCAAAAATGTTTTGGCCTAAAAAACACATGACATCGCTTAGAGCACCTTTAATGTGAACGTTATCAAAATGTTCTTCTGCTTGTTAGTTTGTCACTGTTTTGTTACAAATCATTGTGAACTAAGATGAAAAAAAACAAAATACTGTTTTATTTTCAGTGATTGCAGCAATAATCAATGCACATTGAACTTGATATTTTTCGTGTGTTTGTGATGTGTACAGTATTGCACAAGAGCTGCTGACTGCTCGAGCTCTTTGGACTTCAGTGGTGTCTATAAAGAGGACTGATGAGATAAGGTGTTCTGCTTTCCTCAGGTGTGTGAGTTCCTCAGTTCCTCGATCCGTCAGCATCATGTGTGTGAGCTCGGGCCGGGTCCGGGCCTCGGTGTCGGTCCTGCTCGCGTGTCTCGTCCTGCAGGCCTGCGGGGCCCCGGAGCCCGACAGAGACACCTGCTACTCTCGCCAGCACCGAGACGTGGGCGTGAACACTCGCGCGGCTCTGGAGCAGGAGGGAACCGTGATGGAGGCGCGAGCGAAGCCGTCGGAGAAGGACTGTATACTCACCTGTTGCTCTGAGGACCTGAGTCCAGGTAATGTTCATCTCACACCTGAGGACCCGAGGCCAGGTGTCAGCGCTCCAGACGAACTGGTTTTGGAAGCGACAAAAAATTCTGTATTATGAATTTTTAAGGACAGACAAGTAATTTGTTGAGGTCAATTTGTAAAGAAACACTACACACATATATATTCAAACGCTCATATCTATAGACTAAACACGTGATACGCATGTGCCCGCCGTCAGCGTTCTCACAGATTCACGTTTTTGAAGTTTACACGGAGATGATCACGTTTGTCAAAAATTTTCAGCGCTTGCACCTTGGAACCGGTTTTAGGGTCAGCGTTCTCGAGCTCCAGACGCTGTTGTCTTGCGCATGGGCTGACAATAAAGCACTGAACTTAATTTGAGGTGTAGATAAAATTAACTTTAATTATTATCATTCACAATATCTCAATATTAATTCAAAGCAAAATGGATATTAGTGAGTGAAAATAGCTAATAAGCCAATAAGCGTCCTCTGCTGCCACCTACTGGTTATAATGGTAATTTCATATTTTTTTATTTTTAAATACAGTAAGTGTGAGTTTTCCTTCATCTTGAAACTTTCTTTAAAGGATGAACAAAAATGTTTTGGTCATCGCATTAAAAATAAATTAAATTTAAATATGATATTATAGTTTTGAAGTGCTGGAAAAAGATGTGTAGTCCTCATGAGCGTTTGCCTATTCCTGCCACAATACCACAGTTACAGTGAGTGTTACTTCAGTAAACCCATGTTGCTGATCTGTGGACTGAAAGCTTCTATAACGTGTTCATTCACGGCACAGTGTTTCTCCTGGTTCATCAGCGCTGTCTGATCTGATATCTGTGGTTTATAACAGAGAACTCTGTTTTTTAATTCTGTGGTGAATTCGATGGGTTTCTTCACCGTCCTCTTCCCGCAGGGGTGAAGTGTAACCTGGTGGTGTATACGCCCCCGGCCCGGCCCGGGGACCAGAACTGCCTGCTGTTCCACTGTCTGAGCGAGAGGGACTGTCCGCTGACGCCGGCCAGCGCTGGAATCAACACCTACAACATATTCAAGGGTGAGAACAACAACAACAGAACTCTTTGTGTTCAATTTAAAGGATTACTTCACTTCAGAATGTAAGTTTCCTGATAATTTACTCTTCCTCACGTCATCCAAGATGTCCATGTCTTTCTTTCTTCAGTCGAAAAGAAATTAAGAAAACACTCCAGGATTTCTCCATATAGTGTCTTCAATGGGGTCCAACGGGTCGAAGGTCCAGATGTGAGTTTCAGTGCAGCTTCAAAGTCTCGACACGATCCAGCCGAGGAATAAGAGTCTGATCTAGACAAACCAGCGGACATTTATAACAAAATAAACATTTATATACTTTTAACCACTAATGCTGGTCTTGCACGAGCTGTGATGCGACACACATTACGTAATCAGGTTGAAAGGTCAAGCGTGACGTAGGCGGAAGAGCAGACCCAGTGTTTTCAGAACGAACGTGCAAAGCAAAGTCAAACGCCATTTAAATGTCAGACGATTTTGAAGTCGGAGGAGAAAATGAGACGGAGTTTTTCGCCCTATCCTACATTTTCCGCCTATGTCCGGTTAGAGACTTTGAAGCTGCACTGAAACTCACATCTGGGCCTTTGACCCATTGGACCCCATTGAAATCTCTATATGGAGAACAATCCTGGAATGTTTTCCTCAAAAACCTTAATTTCTTTTCGACTGAAGAAAGAAAGACATGAACATCTTGGATGACGTGAGGGAGAGTAAATTATCAGGAGATTTTAATTCTGAAGTGAACTCCTCCTTTAAAGCACTTAATTGGCTTGCTTGTGTTTGCATACTACACAGCCAAAGCATTATACACAAAACAAAGAACAAACAGAGAAATATATACAACATAACAAGAACAAATACTGGTAACACTTTACAATAAGCTGCCATTAATTAACATTAACTAACAATGGGCAGTATGTCAGGTAGTTGCAGATAAGGCAGCTTTATTAAAAGTACCACAAGCCAAACAGTCCAAAATCCAACAGGCGTAATCCAGAACAGGCAGAGGTCAGGCGATCAGCGAACAATAAAACTCAGGAGAGGCAATGAACCATGATCCAGAGAACCAGTCCAAAGTCAAAAACTACAAAAAGCTTGCAAAAATATATGATTCTTTATATATAGGGTGTCAATTGATATCAGGTGTGTGTGATCAGAAGACCGTGATATCCCAGAGTATTCTGGGATGATATGGAGTCCGGGGCAGCCATGTTTGAAGTCTGAGGTGCATGCTGGGAATTGTAGTCCTCTGACCTCACGGAGCCATCCGGGAGCACCGCCTTTTTCTGGCCTATCCCTGGGACGAGGACCAGTTCTGGATGATTATCATGAAACTTGTCTTGTGCAGAAATCCAACTCTGTTCTTCTGGTCCATACCCCCCCCCCCCCCCCAGTCTATAAGATACTCCAGCTTGCTATTCTTTCGATGCGAGTTCAAAATGGACGACCAAGTATGCTGGCTGTCCTCGATGTCTTGGGGAGATTGGGTGGGAGACATGAAATGAAGGAGCTAATCGACTGTGGCGAGGATGTTCAAGTCTGTTGGAGACTTCATTGATTCGTTTAGGAATCTTGAAGGGCCCTATATATCTGGGAATGAGTTTCTTACAAGTATCCGGTTGTCTGGGATCTCTTGTGGCCAGCCATACTCCATCTCCAGGTTGGTATTGAGGGATGTTGTTCCAGACTTGTTCACTGCGTCTGAACCAATCATCTACAGAAGGAGAATCTGTTGGGTTATCACTCCATGGCAGTAATGGAGGCTGGTATCCAAGTACACAACAGGGAAGGAACTGGGACCAGTCTCCTGGGTTGGCAAAACAGAATGTGCGAAGGAACCGTCCGGTTTCTTGGTTTGCCAGTTCTGGCCTCTAGCTTAGGGTGGTTCTGACCTTAGACTCACTGTTTCCCCCTTCCTACACATGAGAAGTAAACTGTGGTCCTCTGTCACTCACGATATCCTCAGGTTTCCCAAAATACCTGAACACTTGATTAAATAACAGTCCTGCAGAGGCAAAAGCAGGAGGCAGGTTAGGTAGAGGAATCAGAAGAGGGACTTCGAGAATCTGACTAGAACGACCAAAATAGTTATGTTACCACTGGATTCTGGTAGATCCGTGAGGAAACCAGTGGCTATGTGGGACCGGGAACACTGAGGTGTGGGAAGAGACAGGAGCTTTCCAGTAGGCAGAGATCTTGGTACTTTAGACGACACGCCGAATACCGGTTAGCATGTTATTCCACTAGTACTTTCCCCTCAGTATGTGCGTTGAGTGCCTGGATGGCCAGTGTCAACAGAAGTGGCCCCAGACAATGACTCTGTCACGTAAATGAAAAGGAACGAAGCGTTTGTTAGGAGGACAGGAGGCAGGTATTTGGTTTTGTGGGAAGTTTGATATTTCTTGATCCAGTTCCCGGTCTCTACTATACAGGCAGGGGGAACAATATACTCTTCTCTGTTGGTATGGATGCAAGATAAAGCATCAGTATTCTTTGATCCTGGACAAAATGACAATGTAAAATGAAACCGACTGAAGAAAAGGGACCAATGGGCTTGTCTGGGGTTCAGGCGTTTAGCAGAGTGAAGATATTCTTGGTTCTTGTGGTGATTGTAAATGGTGAAAGGAGCCTGTCGCAGTTTCTACAGAGCCAGTTTGACTGCCAACAGTTTCCAATATCATAGTTACGCTCGGCTGGTGAAAGTTTCCTTGGAAAAAAAGCTACTGGATGAAGTTGAGGTTTTTCTCCAAAACTCTGGGAACGAATGGCGCCAACTCTACCTCGGAAGCATCTACTTCTACAACAAAGGGCTTGGAAGGATCAGGGTGTTTAAGAATGGGAGCCGTAGTGAATACCGAGAGTAATAGCTTGATCGGCACTGGAACTCCAGGTTAGACGCTTTGATCCCCCTTTGAGCAAAGATGTGAGAGGGCGAGCTATGGAACTAAAGAATGAATCTTGGTAAAAATTGGCAATTCCTAGGAATCTCTGTAGGTCTTTGCAGTTTTGAGGTGTAGGCCAGTACACTACAGCGGTTACTTTGGATTTATCCTTTGACACCCCCTCTGGACTGATGATGTATCCTAAGGATATGATGTGTTGATGAAATTCACATTTCTCCCCTTTCACATACAGCTTATGTTACGAGAGATGCTGGAGGACTTGATCAACATGGGTCGTAAAGGAGGGTGAATGAATACACTAGAATATCGTCTATGAAGGCAATCACAAATTATCTTAAGTAATCTGATGGACATCATTGATGGGACACTGTAAAACAGAGAAACTAAAGATCCCATAGGCATAACACAGCACTCATAGTGGCCAGATGTGGTACTGAAGGCCGTCTTCCATTCATCTTCTTCACGTATGCGTAAGTTTGTAAAAAACTGCATTACGGAGCTGGTCTAGCGCAGCAGGCACTGACGGATACCTGTGTTTGACCATACATTAGTTCAAGCCCTGATAATCCCTGAAACCAGCCGATGCAGGGGAGGCTGAAGGTCTGAGGTACCCTTGTTGTAACGCCTCCTGTACATATTCTTCCATAGCTTTTTGTTCAGTTAAGGAAAGGGGGTAGACTTTGGTGCGGGGGGGGGCTCCAGGTATATTGTACGATCATATGAGCGATGTGGAGGCAGGCCCTCGCTTTGGTTTTACTGAAAACCTCCCTCATGTCTCGATGATTATCAGGGCTCTTCGCAGTGGCGGTACCTATGGTTAGCTCTGGAAACAGAAGTGATTGTAGCAAAAGAAAGACCAGTGAGTTGTTGGTCTGACCAGGATAGCTGCGGGTTGTGAATTTTCATCCAAGGAAGGCCTAGAATTTTGGGATGTTTGGGAGACTTGGTTATCAGCAGAGAAATGTAAAAGGAGAAGTGGTAAGGGGCGGGGAGTGGTGAATCCTCCTCCAATAGGACCACCGTCAATGGCTTGGATCTTTGGTTTGGCTTGGTTTCCTGCGGCTCCTGAGTCGATTGTTGCTGTGAATTGAAAGAACAATCCTGAGTGTTGTAGAGTTATTGGTGATGTGAATGCATTTCCATTAAGAGACTGGAACAGAATCACCGTTTGAGAACGGGGTTTGTACACGTCACTCGGACATCAGACGAAGGTTGATTCAGAATCAATATGTTGAGACGGATGGCAAGATCTCTGAGTGAGTTTACCTCAGTAAGCTGAGCGAGTGGATCTCTGAGCTGCTGTGAGTGAGTGGAGGCGGGGCTAATTTACATATTCATAGAACCACATACACTAAATGAGGCAAGGGTGTCGAGTTACATTCAAGCTTTTTTAAGGCTTGAAGAATTTTTTTCACAGGAAAAAACATTTAAATATGTCATTTTGGTGATCAAAGATGAGTTTTAAGGGATACAATAATTGACTACAGGAAGACTTTAAGGGTTAACAGATTGATTTAAATGTATTAGTAAATGTTGAAATAAACATCAACCAAGATTAATAATTGCTTTAGAAGTATTTTTCTGCTTTAGAACCTTATTGTAAACTGTTACCAAAATTGTATTAAAAAAATGATTATATTAATTCATAGACATAATGAAGAATCAAAGAATCAACATACTATAAGTAGGTGGATGGTCTTTGATTATATTGATCAAGTGTTTGGTTTCTGATGGTGTTTAGCTGAAAACATTTTTTCTTGCAATTGTATTAATCACTTCAGGTTCAACTCATCCATTGACTAAATCAAATGAAAGAGTAACAGCCAAACCTGCACCCAGTGTACAGACAAAGCTGACCACGACCACAACAACACCCACAACAGCAACCATGACTACAACAACAACAACACCCACAACAGCAACCATGACAACAACAACAACAACACCTACACCCGCAACAACAACACCACCAGCAACAACACCACCACCAGCAACAACAACACCACCAGCAACAACAACACCACCAACAACAACACCACCACCAACAACAACAACACCACCACCAACAACAGCAACCACGACTACAACAACAACAACAACAACACCACTTGCAACAACTCCCACCACCACACCCCTGACCAGCACTGAAGAACCGCTGGCTGGGTCAGAATCACACGTGATGCTTGTAACCGTCGCTGTGACAACCGCACCTGTTGCCACGACAACCACACCCATTGCCACGACAACCACCACCACTACACAGTCCACCACTACAACCACAAAAACAGCTAAAAGCACCAGCACTAAAGCGCCGCGGCCTCCGGTCAAACCCAACAGAGTCCGAAAACCCGGCAAACCTTCCAGACCAGAACCACATCCAGTAAAGCCCGTCAGAGCGACCGCCAGCCCGACAACCACCGGCACACACACACCAGCGACTGCTACAACCACAAGAGCTACAACCACCACAACTACACCCACAACAACAACTATAACTACACCCACAACAACAACAACTACAACTACTACAATAACTACTACAATAACTACAACTACTGTAACTACACCTGCACCCGCGGCTCCGCCCGCTGAGCCCGAGAGCGAGTCGAGGCGCCGGGGCTTCGGTGCTCCTGCCGGCGGCCCGGTTCTGGGAAAGCCCAAGGTGTCTCGGGTGATGTGGAAGAACAGCCTGGTGGCCATCGTGGTGCTCACACTCCTCTTCCTCGTGCTCATCCTCGCCCTGGTGGCCCGGAAGGCCATGGAGTCCTTCGACAGGCGGCACTACACTCGCCTGGAGCTCAACGACCTGCACTACGAGGTGTAGCACACTGACAATCTGCTCTGGAGGAGTGTGCCTCCTCACCCAGAGAAAAGCTTTGTATTTTGATATATTTAGGCTGGTTTGGTTTCCACGGTTCGAGGAGAGAAATAAAAAGCAATACACTGAACTCAGGTCACCTCAAATGATGAAACGAAGGCTGAGATCTTGAACAGCTTCGCCACTGTAAGATGTTTCTTTCTTTCTTTCTCACCGAGCGTTTCTTAGTACGAGTGTCAGCAAACATCATGAACATGTTCTGTTGTAAGAAGCACCTCACGGGTCCCGAGAGCGACTGTGCTTCACTGCTCACTAGTGTAGTCGTGCACTTGTTAGTGTGTCACATGACAGCTGGAGAGATTCACACACGCACTTCATGTTTTCAGTGGAAGTGAACGAGTGTTTGTTTGTAATTCACTGCATTTCTCTCTGTGCTCGTCCAGGCGGGGGCAGAGGTCAGTCGTTTATTTCACAGCATGATTCACTGAAATCTGTCCAGTTCACTCTTAAGTTCACTTTTAATCTTATTCTGCTTCGGTATTTTCTAATCTGTTAGTATATGTTGGTGGTAAAATTTTTGGTGAGTCTTGGCTTTTACAGACACCTTGAGATTAATGTGACTGTTTTGCTTCTCTTGCAAGAAATAAAAAGGAGTCTTTTTCAATATCTACAAGGTTTCTTATTACGTTTCATCTGCACGAGTTACAGTAAACAGCGCAACAGTTACAGTTAACAGCGCAACAGTTACAGTAAACAGCGCAACAGTTACAGTTAACAGCGCAACAGTTACAGTAAACAGCGCAACAGTTACAGTAAACAGCGCAACAGTTACAGTTAACAGCGCAACAGTTACAGTAAACAGCGCAACAGTTACAGTTAACAGCGCTACAGTTACAGTAAACAGCGCAACAGTTACAGTTAACTGGCGCAACAGTTACAGTTAACAGGCGCAACAGTTACAGTAAACAGCGCAACAGTTACAGTAAACAGCGCAACAGTTACAGTAAACAGCGCAACAGTTACAGTTAACAGGCGCAACAGTTACAGTAAACAGCGCAACAGTTACAGTAAACAGCGCAACAGTTACAGTTAACAGGCGCAACAGTTACAGTAAACAGCGCAACAGTTACAGTAAACAGCGCAACAGTTACAGTTAACAGGCGCAACAGTTACAGTTAACAGCGCAACAGTTACAGTTAACAGCGCAACAGTTACAGTAAACAGCGCAACAGTTACAGTAAACAGCGCAACAGTTACAGTAAACAGCGCAACAGTTACAGTAAACAGCGCAACAGTAAACAGCGCAACAGTTACAGTTAACAGGCGCAACAGTTACAGTAAACAGCGCAACAGTTACAGTAAACAGCGCAACAGTTACAGTTAACAGGCGCAACAGTTACAGTAAACAGCGCAACAGTTACAGTAAACAGCGCAACAGTTACAGTTAACAGGCGCAACAGTTACAGTAAACAGCGCAACAGTTACAGTAAACAGCGCAACAGTAAACAGCGCAACAGTTACAGTAAACAGCGCAACAGTTACAGTTAACAGGCGCAACAGTTACAGTTAACAGCGCAACAGTTACAGTTAACAGCGCAACAGTTACAGTAAACAGCGCAACAGTTACAGTTAACAGCGCTACAGTTACAGTAAACAGCGCAACAGTTACAGTTAACAGGCGCAACAGTTACAGTTAACAGGCGCAACAGTTACAGTAAACAGCGCAACAGTTACAGTTAACAGGCGCAACAGTTACAGTAAACAGCGCAACAGTTACAGTAAACAGCGCAACAGTTACAGTTAACAGGCGCAACAGTTACAGTAAACAGTGCAACAGTTACAGTAAACAGCGCAACAGTTACAGTAAACAGCGCAACAGTTACAGTTAACAGGCGCAACAGTTACAGTTAACAGCGCAACAGTTACAGTTAACAGCGCAACAGTTACAGTAAACAGCGCAACAGTTACAGTTAACAGCGCTACAGTTACAGTAAACAGCGCAACAGTTACAGTTAACAGGCGCAACAGTTACAGTAAACAGCGCAACAGTTACAGTAAACAGCGCAACAGTTACAGTAAACAGCGCAACAGTTACAGTAAACAGCGCAACAGTAAACGACAGGCAATAATGTTTCAAAAGCTCATTTAAAATCTGATCCAAACTAAATCACAAAACTAGTGACTGATGAGTGTTTTACTGGCGATATATAGAGAGCACAATTAAAACTTTTATTCATCAAGGACACATTAAATTGATCAAAAGTGACAGTAAAGACATTTATACCCAGATAGCATACATATCCGGGCCTCATCCGGGCCAATTGTGGCATATATGGCTCAGTTCTGGCAGCGAGGTCACATGGGCCACATCTGGCCCACACACATCAAGCTGGTTTTAGTGTGAGTGCATGTGACCTCGCTGCCAGAACTGAGCCATATATGCCACAATTGGCCCGGATGAGGCCCGGATGTGTATGTTATTGCCACACTCAGGTTGTTTCCATGCGGTACGCGAGCAGAAGAATGTGGCAGATGTGGGCCACAACTGGGCCAGATGTCATTTGCAATCTGGGTAATGTTACAAATTGTATTTCAAATAAATAAGTTCTTTTTAACTTTCTTTTCATCAAAGAATTCTGGGAAATAAAATATGACATTGATAATAATCATAAATGTTTCTTGAGCATCAAATAATCATATTAGAGTGATTTCTGAAGGATCATGTGACACTGAAGACTGGAGTAATGATGCTGAAAATTCAGCTTTATTCCACTTTACTATACATGTACATAGAAAACTAAAAGGGAATATTTATAATAGATAAAGCTATTAGCAAGATAAATACATTCTACATATACAATACTTTCAGAAATACATTCTAGACTAGAACATTTTGCAAACATTCTCATTAAAATTTTATTAATGAATGTTCAAAAGATCCAGTTTTTGTCAAACATTTTCGATGGTTATTCGAACGTTACGGGAACAGTAACATTGTATCATTCTTCAATCATTATGATGACGTTACTTTTGAATCTGAACGTTCTGAAACCAGGAGCAACATTTAAAAAGCAAAAAACGTTCCATGATCGATAATGTTTTTGTACGAACGTTTTGAGAACATTAGGCTATTAAATAACAGATAACTTGAACGAACGGTATGTTAATGTTACAGGAAGAATGTTTGTTCATAACTTTGAGAGAACCTTAAAAGAACGTTCCCCGTTCGCTGGGATGGTATAATATGTACAAATGTAGTATAATATCCCTGCAAGTGATATTAATAAATCACGAAAAAAAATCCTTACACTGAGAGAGAGTCTTAAAAGTGCAATATTCGGTGATTTTGAAGAATAAATGAGAGACAATGACCAATGGGTGAGTATTAATGAAGTGAAATTCATTAATGCCGTTGCTTTGTGTTGTTTTGTGTTTCGGGCCGCAGCACGAACCACTGCGTGAAAAAGTAGTCCCATTGGAATGCGCTTCGCTGCTTTTATCCACGCGTCCACGACGCTCGCGACGCTCCACATCCCACATTAAACAGTTTGTTCTGCGTCTCGGCCGCACTATGATCCGATATAGAGAAAGAGAGTGTCTTGAATGAGATGAAACACAACAATAGCGAGTGAGTGTGACGGAGCACTGGGATCGGGAGAGCCGGCGGAAGGGTTTGGAAGCGTCCGGGCATTTTCCCTGCGAGCGGAAGGAGACGCACGGACTCACTGAAACACTGAAACAATCAAATCGATGAAAAACCGCAACGGAGAATCAACGCGAAGAATCCGAATCCCAGACACGCGCAGCCGGAGCGATGCGAGCGAAGCGGCGCGGCTGAGCGTTGAAGATGTGTGCCGCACTACAGAGTCTCTTACTGTGTACTTTGTGTTTGCAGATACGGGGTGAGTTTCATTTACGGCGCTCGATTTGTTCACGAATCGCGTTGATCTAATGATTCTCTGGATCGAATCTCTGTAAATACACGCGCGCGTGCCCGTGTGTGTGTGAGATCAATCTTGTTGTTTCGTGAAGCGTGAATCAGTGCTGTTGTTTATAGTGTGTCGATGCTGATCTGTTTCGTTGGAGCTGTAGAATGTGTAACGTGTTTGTTTTGTTGTTTGTGCTCGTGTTCTTGTTTTGAGAACCGCGGCCGTGTGAATCTTTCACTCGTTCACATCAAACTCGCTCGTTTTCAGCCGCAGCAACAAAAACCCTCGAACATGTCAGTGATTTATCGCCCTTTATGTGGCCTGTGAACGAGTTTTGTGTGAAAGCAGCTCTTCTCCTTCAGTTTGTGAAGTTACACACTCAAACTGCAGCTCAGTTCGATTCTTTCGAGGGTTTGTGTTCGGTTCGCTCTTGTGTGTGTGTGTGTGATTCACTCTTAAAAATAAAGGTTCTTCTTTGAAACTGATGGTTCCAAGAAGACCCTTTAACATCTTTTCATTGCACAAAATAATCTTACAGTGAGGTAAAAGGGGTTTAGGTTTATTAAAACGTTCTTCACAGCAAGAAATAAAATGGTTATTTTTGAGAAATGGTCATTGAAAACCCAAAATGGTTCTTCTGTGGTGAGAAGAGAAACACTTTCTTTGGCCATGAAGTGAGTTGCTAGTGTTGGTAAACAGTGTAGTGTTTAACAGCTGTTCAGTGAGACACAAAACCACCAATCTGAGTCTCTGAAGGAGTGTGTAAAGGACCAGCTGAGAGGTTGACATGATCCGAGGCCAAGCAATAAGTGTCCAGAAATCTCCATATTCCCAGTTTCTGCTCTGGCTCGGGCTTCAGTCACTGCTCAGAGTTTCTAAATATTTGAAAAAGGAAATTCCCCGTGTTAGGAAAACAGGCTGGAGGTCGAGCCGGTGTTTCTGCGGTCGATGTGTCAAATTGAGGTTTGATTTTCTGCCAGATCCCCGTGGAGTCGCCGCTCCATCCCCGGGTCTGCAGGAACACATCATCAGCTCTACAGGAGCAGGGATGGAGGATTACTGTACATGTCATGCTGATGTTATCCGGAGTGATTTCGGATAATATTCTACGATATTATTGATCTCCTGCATTGACACCATTATATGAAAACTGAGCTGGACGATGACATCACTGTTTATATATAAATGGACTAAATTAATAACTTTTTTTACCACAAACATGAAGCATCACTGAGCTTACTTAAGCTTGACTGGACGCTATTTTCTTCTGGAAACAAACTTTGTTGCATTATTATTATCTCTGTAAAGCTGCTCTGAAACACTGAGTTGTAAAAAGCGCTTTATAAATAAAGGAGACTTGATTCGTTCCCAAATCTGCAAAGCATCATGCATCTTAATGTCTTAAAGGCACACTATGTAAGATTTTTGGATTAAAATATCCCAAAACCACTAGAACAATGTTATATTTTGTTGACTTGTGTTCTTAAATTATCCCAAATATTTCTAAGAATGTTTAAATCCAGAGAAATAAGCAGTTTTACCCAGGACACGGCGCCTATCAATGACATCATACCCGTGTTACCCGCGATTCCCGGGTTTATTTAGCAGAAACCATGGAAACACCAAATGCTTTAATATCTGATGTGTTTTGAGACGGTGAGCAACTGTTGGATGCATTCATCGACAGAAAACGAATCATTGTTATACAGCTCAACACAGTTCTCTTTCTGTTTAAATCTCGTTTTCTGTTTAAATCTTGAGTTCCATGTTTTACCGTGCCTAGCATCGCTAGCTCACTGCAGTGTCGTAGCAGCCGGTGAGCGAACACACTCAGATGTGTGTGTGATAAACAGCGCTGCGCTTCCCCAGGAAGAAGCGGAAGTGACGTAATAAAAGCTCCAGTGCTCTCGAGCCGGTGTCGCGCTCGTCGCTCATTAGCAATCGCTCCAGCGGCTCGTTACGCTCCAGCGGCTTTCGTAACGTTAATAAATCTTTAAAGGATTACCGGTCACCCAGGAATATGAGTTCTGGCCGAGTCCCTCGTGTTCTGCGCCGGCTGTAGATCCCACGAGATCAGGCGTCATCAAGCTACGCCTTTGTTTTGAATAAGCTCCCTCTAGTGGCGAGAGGTTACAGAGTGTGCCTTTAATATCTGCAAGAGTTCAACATGATGAGGAGATGATCAGTGTAACTCCACAACAACTACAGAAATGTCTCCGCTAACATTCAGAAACGTGTAAAAGTGAAGCTCTCCCTGAGTCTCTCCGTAAGGCTGCACTCGCTGCTGGTTACTCCTGACTCTGGATCAGTGAGATTGGCCTGCGTTGTTATTGCCGGATTCTCTGAAGCTCGTGTGAAGGCTCCGCCCTCTTCTGTACGGAGGCGGAGCTAGAGCTTATTTGCATTTAAAGGAACACACACAAAAACGTGTTTTTGCTCACATCCAAAAAGGGGCAAATTTGACGAGCTATAATAAATGATTTGGTATTTTGAGCTGAGATTTCACACACACATTCTGGAGACGCCAGAGATTTATATCACATCTGGTGAAGAGGGGCGTAATGTGGCACCTTTAAGGATGTTTAGTGTTGGAAAACATTTAATTCTTTTCACACCTGAATATGTTTTCAGAATCGTTCTGTTTGACCTCTGACCCCTCTCTCTCTCTCTCAGGGCTGCCGCTGCTCCTGTACGCTAACCGGCGTGACCTGCGTTTGGTGGACGCGGCTCACGGGCGAGCGAACGCTACGGTGGTGATGGGCGGCCTGGAGGACGCGGCGGCGCTGGATTACGTGTTCGCGCAGGATCTGATCTACTGGAGCGACGTGAGCGAGGAGTCCATCAAACGCACACGCTTCAACGGCTCGACGCCGAGCGGCGCTCCCTCCACCGTCGTGTCCAACCTAGCCTCCCCCGACGGCCTGGCCTGCGACTGGATCGGGAACAAGCTCTACTGGACCGACTCCGAGACCAACCGGGTCGAGGTGTCGGAGCTGGACGGCGCGCACCGGAAGGTGTTGTTCTGGCAGGACCTGGACCAGCCGAGGGCCATCGCTCTGGACCCGGCGCGCGGGTGAGTGGGCTGATCTAAAGCGGCCCTCGCGAGTCTGAAGGGGCGGGTATCACGATTTCACTGTTCTGACTGCAGTAGCATGTCACTCTGTCGGCGTCTTACAACAGTTCCCACACCAGAGGTTTATAGATTATCATACACACACACACACACACACACAAGCTCTTGAAGCTCCGCCCACTGTGCCGGGAGCAGCAGCTCATTTGCATTTAAAGGGACACACACAAAACTACACGTTTTTGCTCACCCTCAAAAAGGGACAATTTTAACATGCTGTATAAAATTATCTGTGGGGTATTTTGAGCTAAAACTTCACACACTCACTCACACACACACACACACTGGGGACAACAGACTTATTCTACATCTTGTGGAAAGGGGCATTATACCACCCTTTAATGTAATCAATCAAACCCATTAATTCATGTAATAATCTTTTATTTTTATCCTAATTATTTATACAGTTAAAGTGAAAGAAATTGCATTTTTAGCTATGTTTTGGGACATTAATTGTTATTAAGCAATAAGGCATAATATATATATTTCTTTTTAATTACAAGCATGTCATATATCATAATTCTTTAACCGAATTATGCTTTTATCATATTTGCTATGATCATGATGGAGAACGAAATTGCAAATGTACTGCTTGTGAACTTGTGATTTAAATCTCAATCTAAAAATATGAAATCATCCAGATGACACATGGTGTGCAAAAATATCGTATAGATGGTGAAAAAAGCGTTATCTCTGATCATCTCGGATCGCTGTATGCTATGCTACTATGTAAGCTAACTAAGAACGAGGAATGTTTAAATTCACCATTTTTAGCTTCGGTTATATATTATTCTAGTATATGAAACATGTTAAAAGACATTAATGGTCGTTATAACCGTAGTTGTTCTATAATAGTGATTTGTACTCGGCACTGAAGCGGTCCCCCATGAAGCCCTGGATCGGCTCGCTGGGGCCTCCTCTCTCAGCCGGCGTGTCGGGAGCTCGGGCGTGCTGCGTCTTGTCTCCTGGATGTTTGTTTCGCAGGCCGGTAGTTACAGGCTGGAACTAGACGCTCTTCATGTTCAGGGTTTAGTGTCTCTGGACTCGCTCTGGTGACGTCCCGCTGAACAGCTCTCGCTCGGCTGGGGTCACTGAGCTCATCTGTACTGATCTCATCATACACTGCCGTAATAAAGTTTTGGATAATGTTATTTAAAGAAGTCTCTTCTGCTCACCAAGGCTGCATTTATTGGATTAAAAATACAAAAAACAGTAATATTGTGAAATATTATTATAATGTAAATCATCGGTTTTCTGTGTGAATATACAGTAAAGTGTAATTTATTCCTGTGATCAAAGCTGAATTTCCAGCATCATTACTCCAGTCTTCAGTGTCACATGATCCTTCAGAAATCACTCTAATATGAGGATCTGATGCTCAAGACACAGTTATGATTATTATCAGTGTTGGAAACTGTTATTTACACTTTTATTTCAGGATTCTTTGATGAATATAAAGTTCAGAAGAGCAGCATTTATCTGAAATAGAAGCAGCCTTGGTGAGCAGAAGAGATTTCTTTTAAAAACATTACAAATCTTCTGAACGGCAGTGTGTGTGCGCTGAAGCATAACACACACACACACACACACACACACACGAGGAAAAGTATCATGTTGTTGTAAACCATAAAAAAGTTGACATTTAGATAAGATGAAAGGCAAAATTATGAACTTGGTGTGTCAATTTCAACTCTTTATAATTATGACCTTTTCAAGACTTTTTAATGTTGTTTAATTTTTGTCAGTTATGATTTGCAAAAGCTTTTTTTTTCTTATGTGGGAGAAATATGTTTCATAATAATGTTTTGGCGCTAGAATAGCGTGTCGTTTGAAGGGAGCGTTCAGAGTCTGCATCAGTAACTCTTCAGGCCTGATGTGAACGAGTGTGTGTGAAGACCTGGTGACGTCACCGGTGTGGCCAGGGAAGTGTGTGTAACCCGAGCCGCTGGCTTTATCAGGAGGCATGATGGGTAATCCTGAGCTTGACCAACACAGCCGCTTTTGTTCTGGCCTGAGGTCGAGGAGGTCAGAGGGCAGAGGTCGAGGGAGTGGGTTTGTGCCGGTTTGACCTAAACACTGGCGCACCTGAAGCGATGACATCACTGACCAGCACCTGTCAATCATTAGGTCATGTGATCCTTCAGGTTTGTGTGCATTGAAATGAGATTGTTCAGGTCTCAACCTGATCTCTAGATACAAGCCGATCGCCCGATGGCTCGTAATGCAGAGAGAGTGTGAGTTACCCAGCATGCAGCGCGTCCGCCGTGTCGTTAGCGCGACGCTCCTGAAATCACAGATGTAACGTGTGTGTGTGTGTTCCTGTAGTGGATTCATGTTCACGATGAGCATCGAACATCATTCGAGTCGCACGCTGTGATCTAACCGATAATCTAAGAGTTAAAAACACAAAAAATTCGATGATTATAAACAGTGGTGTAACTTTGTTTTAATAAGTGGGTGGGACAGGAGTGTGTGTGTGTGTTCTGGTTCATGTACTGGACGGACTGGGGTGAGGTGCCGAAGATAAACTTGTGTGTGTGTGTGTGTGTGTGTGTGTTCTGGTTCATGTACTGGACGGACTGGGGTGAGGTGCCGAAGATAAACTCGTGTGTGTGTGTGTGTGTGTGTGTGTGTGTGTGTGTGTTCAGGTTCATGTACTGGACGGACTGGGGTGAGGTGCCGAAGATCGAGCGCGCTGGGATGGATGGGACTCTTCGCTCTGTGATCATCGACTCTGAGATCTACTGGCCCAACGGCCTCACACTCGACTACACACACACACAGCAGAAGCTCTACTGGGCCGACGCCAAGTTCAACTTCATCCATCGGTGCAACCTGGACGGGTCCGGCAGGTGCGACACACACACACACACACACACACACCTCACCTCTCGATCTAATTCACTAGCTGTGATTCCATCCAGTTACGATCTTGATGACGATTAATCTGGATTCATGTCTCTGTGTGTGTGTGTGTGTGTGTGTGTGTGTGTGTCAGGGAGGTGGTGGTGAAGGGCTCGTTGCCGCACCCGTTCGCGCTGACGCTGTACGAGGACACACTTTTCTGGACCGACTGGAACACACACTCCATCCACTCCTGCCACAAACACACGGGGCAGAACAGCCGCGAGGTCCACTCCAACATCTTCTCCCCCATGGACATACACGTCTACAGCCAGAAGCGCCAGCAGATCGGTGAGTGTGTGTGTGTGAGAGAGTGTGAGAGAGAGTGTGAGAGAGAGTGTGAGAGAGAGTGTGAGAGAGAGTGTGAGAGAGAGTGTGAGAGAGAGTGTGAGAGAGAGTGTGAGAGAGAGTGTGAGAGAGAGTGTGAGAGAGAGTGTGAGAGAGAGTGTGAGAGAGAGTGTGAGAGAGAGTGTGAGAAGTGTGAGAGAGAGTGTGAGAGAGAGTGTGAGAGAGAGTGTGTGTGTGAGTGTGTGTGTGAGTGTGTGAGAGTGTGAGTGTGAGAGTGTGTGAGTGAGTGAGAGTGTGTGAGTGAGTGTGTGAGTGAGAGAGAGTGTGTGAGTGTGAGAGAGTGTGAGAGAGTGTGAGAGAGTGTGAGAGAGTGTGAGAGTGTGAGAGTGTGAGAGTGTGAGAGTGTGAGAGAGTGAGAGTGTGTGAGAGTGTGTGCGAGTGTGTGAGAGTGTGTGAGAGTGTGTGAGTGTGAGAGAGTGTGAGAGAGTGTGTGAGAGTGTGAGAGTGTGAGAGTGTGAGAGTGTGAGAGTGTGAGAGTGTGAGTGTGTGAGAGTGTGTGAGAGTGTGTGAGAGAGTGTGAGAGTGTGTGAGAGTGTGTGAGAGAGTGTGAGAGTGTGTGAGAGAGTGTGTGAGAGAGAGTGTGAGAGAGAGTGTGAGAGAGAGTGTGTGTGTGAGTGTGTGTGTGTGTGTGAGTGTGTGAGAGTGTGAGAGTGTGAGTGTGAGAGAGAGTGTGTGAGTGAGTGAGAGTGTGTGAGTGAGTGAGAGTGTGTGAGTGTGAG